GGTTGTGGAGAAAGGGGAACCCTTCTCCACTGCTGGTGGGAATGTGAACTTGTACAACCACTCTGGAAATCAATCTGGCGCTTTCTCAGACAACTAGGAATAGCGCTTCCTCAAGATCCAGCCATACCACTTCTAGGCATATATCCAAAAGAGTCTCAAGTACACAACAAGGACATTTGCTCAACCATGTTTGTAGCAGCTTTATTTGTAATAGCCAGAAGCTGGAAACAGCCCAGATGCCCCTCAACTGAAGAATGGATGCAGAAATTGTGGTACATCTACACAATGGAGTATTACTCAGCAATGAAAAATAAGGAAATCATGAAATTTGCAGGTAAATGGTGGGACCTGGAAAGGATCATCCTGAGTGAGCTGTCCCAGAAGCAGAAAGACACACACGGTATATACTCACTCATATAGACATATAACATAGGATAAACCTACTAAAATCTGTACATCTAAAGAAACTAATCAGGTGAGAGGACCCTGACTAAAATGCTCAATCCCCATCCCGAAAGGCAAAGAGGATGGACATCAGAAGAAGAAAACAGGAAACAACCTAGGAACCTGCCACAGAGGGCCTCTGAAATCCTCTGCTCTGCAGACTATCAAAGCAGACCCTGAGACTTATGGCCAATGGTTACTCAGAGTGCATGGAATCTTATGTAAGAAGTGGGAAATAGTAAGATCTGGAGAGGACAGGAACTCCACAAGGAGAGCAACAGCACCAGAAAATTTGAACACAGGGGTCTTCCCAGAGACTCATACTCCAACCAAGTACCAGGCATGGAGATAACCTAGAACCCCTGCACAGATGTAGCTCATGGCAGTTCAGTGTCCAAGTGGGTTCCATAGTAATGGGAAGAGGGACTGTGTCCAACATAATCTGATTGGCCTGCTCTTTGATCACCTCCCCCTGAGGAGGGAGCAGCCTTATCAGGCCACAGAAGATGACAATGCAGCCACTCCTGATGTGATCTGATAGACTAAGATCAGAAGGAACGAGAGGAGGACCTCCCTTATCAGTGAACTTGGAGAGGGGCATGCGTGAAGAAGGCAGAAGGGAGGATGAGACCGGGAGGGGATGAGGGAGGGGGTTATGGGGGAATACAAAGTGAATAAAGTGTAATTAATAAAATAAAATAAAATTTAAAAAGAAAAGAAAAAAACAAGGTCCAAAAAAGAAGTAGTTGCTTGGTGGTGGTGACACTTATCTTGGGAGGCACAGACAGACAGATCTCTGAGTTTGAGGCCAGCCTAGTCTACAGAATGAATTCCAGAACAGCCAGGGCTACACAGAGAAACCCTGCCTATAAATAAATAAATAAATGAATGAATGAATGAATGAATGAATGAATGAATGAATAAATAAATAAATAAATAAATAAGAGAAGAAGGGGGATTGTGCTGTCTTGAGCAACTGGGTTTTATGATCAAGATCTTGTGGGGGTGGCGTCTGGACCCTAAAACAAATAAGTTGGCAAGTGTGGCCACACAGTTGCGCACAGATGATGTTACCCCTTCCTCTACCCCACTGACTTACTCTCCATCTCTCTCCCTTACCGAGCCCCCCCTCCGTTAATCCCTATCCCCCTTATGATTTTTCTGCCTGGCAAGAATATTAAAACCTTCGCTCAAGAGCTGGAGAGTAGCAGGCAGTGGCAGCGCACACCTTTGATCCTGGCACTCAGGGAGGCAGAGGCAGGTGGATTGCTGTGAGTGGGAGGCCAGCCTGGTCTACAAAGTGAGTTCAGGACAGCCAAGACTATACATAGAAACCCTGTCGTCAATAATAATAATAATAATAATAATAATAATAATAATTAATAATAATAATAATAATAATAAAAAGCTGGAGAGTTGGTGCTGCAGCTAAGAGCACTGGCTGCTCTCCCGGAAGACCCAGGCTCAGTTCCCCAGCACACACAGGGAGCATCACAGCCTTCTTCTGGCTTCATGGGATGCCAGTATACATGTGCTACAGACACGAAGGTAAAACACACAGAATAAATATTTCCTAAAAGAAAACCCTCACTCGAGTTACTTTGCAACACTGTCTTTATTTTTCTACAAGCACGTTAAAGAGATCCAAAGCACATGCCTGAAAATATCATGTATTACAAGGCTGCCAGCTTCAGAAGACATTTTTTTTTCCCTCAAGCTAATGAGGAACTGCAATTTTCTTCAAATCCCATCTTTTCTCAAGAAAAGGTATTATAGGTTTTATACTGCAAAACTTTTGACAAAAAAAAAAAAAAAAAAGACACATGTTTTGTTAACTTTCACAGCAACACCAAAGAACAGAAATCTAATGTAATAGGAGCAGTAATGGCACAGGCCTTTAATCCCAGCCCTCAGGTGGATCTCTGAGTCTGAGGCTAGCCTGGTCTACAGAGTAAGTTCCAGGACAGTCAGGGCCACACAGAGAAACCCTGTCTCAAAAAGAAAAGAGAAAGGAAAAGAAGCCTCACATCACCTGTCTGAGGGAGGCAGCATCCACATAGGAGCCCCAGAAGGTCCTGAGAGCCAACCGCAGGCTTTGGTCTTTCTGCACGCACATTCTGTAGGTTGCTTTTAAGAGGAAGACACGTGAGCTGGAGAGATGGCTCAGTGGTTAAGAGCATTGGCTGCTCTTCCAGACGACCCAAGTTCAATTCCCAGCAACCACATGGCAGCTCACAACTGTAATTCCAGGATCCAACACCCTTGCATAGACATACAGGCAAAACAGCAATGTGCATAAAATAAAAATAAATTATAAGAAAAAAAAAAAGAGGAAGACATGTGATGAGTGATTATGAGGGACTGCGTCACGTTTTAAACAAAGATACCCTAGAACTGCCACGGCGAGTGTGCCTTGGTCCTGGAGCCCTGCCTAGGAGCTGCAAGGACAGAAAAGCTGGCTGTCTCATGGCCAGCACACAAGCAACCAGGAATCTCCGTGTGTTTATTGTGTGCAGAGAGGGGAAGCGCTTAGCTGCTCTCAGGAGCATCTCTCTGGAGGCACGCAGCTTCCTGGGAGAAGGAAAATGAAGTTACAGTTATGTTTTTGTGCGTGCTGATCAGCAGTCCACAGACACTGTACGTGGACCAGAGGAAGAAGGCTTTAGCAATTTCAGGCCAGACCCGTAAGGGAAAGGCTTTGACAACTTCCCTTGGGGCCATGGGATACCTCGGGTCTGTGGCCTTGGTCCTTGTCATGACTGTGCCCACGTCTGCAATACACACTCTCTCAGGACTTCAATCAGGGCTGCTTCTTGCTCTCTACAACAGTGCTCACATATTTCTCTCCTGCCCCCATCTGTGTATGCGTGTGTGTGTGCGTGCGTGTGTGAGAGAGAGTGTGTGAGAAATAGATATTGAAACATTCCATCCTTCAGTAAAACTCCATAAGTATGAAGGTAAACAACAACAAAAAGTTCAGGAAGTCCCTGAAGCTAACTAGATTCACTAGGCTTCTCCCTTCCAGAACAGACAAGCCAAAGTGCACAGAAGACTCAACAAGATGAGACACAAAGAAGACTCTGAGACAAGACCAGGTGCCAACAAGGTCTAGGCCAACTGAGTCACTTGGAAAGAACATTCTCCAAACTGTTGAGCTGCCTGCAGACTGTGCAATACACTCCAGGCTCACAGCTTTTGTGGGCTCTCACCATGCCAGGGTGGACTTTAGTGTCACAGCTGTCTGTGAGTCACTTCTGGTCCTATAGGTAACCCTTCACCCATATTCCTGTAAGTAGTAGCTGTCTTAGGGTTTTATGGCTGTGAAGAGACACCGTGACAATGGCAACTCTTAAAAACGAAAACATTTAATTGCGGTTGACTTACAGTTTTAGAGGTTTAGTTCATTGTTGTCATGGCAGGAAGCATGGCAGCATACAGGCAGATGGGCCAGAGAGGTAGCTGAGAGTTCTACATCTGGATCAGCAGAAAGCCGGAAGTGGAGGCCCCCTGGGCCTGTATTAAATATCTGAGACTTCAGAACACCCCACACACACCCAGTAACACACCTTTCCTAACAGCCACATCTTTCCAACAAGGCCACACCTCCTAATGGTGCCACCTCCTATGAGCCTCATGGGGGCCATTTTCTTTCAACCCACCACAGTAATACAATAAAACTTCTGGTTCAGCAGGTTGGACTTCAATCATTCCATATTTTGGTCTGTGATGGGCTCCCTAACACATGTGCTGAGTCTCCCTAAGAAAAGTTTTGTCACACAAGTGTGTATGTGTATGGCATGTGCATGCCATGATATATTTTTGGGGGGTTGTCAAAGGACAACTGGCAAGAATCAGTTCTCATCTTTCCCCATGCGAGACACAAGGAATGAAATTTAGGTCATTAGGCTTGGCCGCCAAAATCTTTACCATCTGAGCCACCATCTCACTAGTCTAGGGCCATGCTTTGAAATAAAATACACACATACTGAAAAAGTCACAAGATCTCACTCTATGCCCCAGGCTGGCCTCAAACTCACAATCCCCCTCCCCAGCCTCCAGCATGTTGGAATGAAGGGTGTCCATACCACAGCTGGCTTCAAAACAGACATCCTGACAAAAATTCAGTAGTTCTGGTTGGTTTCCACAAAGGCCAGCAGTGTCAGCCAAACATTGCCCTTTATACCTAGATTGTAGTGGCACAGGGAACTGGGCCCACGCCAATGCCGAACACCAGACAAAGTGTCATTTTGTTCCAGGCTGTTCATCCAGTCCGGCGACACCCTTGTCAACCAGTCACCACCACTTTGCACACAGACTTGGAAAAGGAGTTAACCTTGCCCTAGTCACATGCTAGAGGCGACTGAAGCCGAGCAAGCCTGGAGTCTGTGTTCTTTTCTGTTTCCCAGTGCTGGAGACCCAATCCTCACACACAATCTACCCCCATGCTGCACTGCTGTGTCATGGTACCTTCTCTGAAGCCAGGGCAGGAGAAGGCCCTAAAGCACCTGCTGAGCCAGCCACCTTTAAAGAACTGTGCTTAAATCTGCCATTCGTGTCCAAATACGCTTTATTGTGTTCAAATTCTAGAAAACTTTGCTCATACACATTGGGTTCTTTCCAGTTAATTTCTCGTTCCCCACTCTGCAAATACGAGCTCTCCTCATAGTAAGGCCCTCTTTGTCCCTTCCAGTCCCTTTCACACACCTTCGAGGCCCCCGATCCAGGTCCACTGTGGAGAGAGCTGACATTTTTTTCCCCAGGAGAATGAAAGCCAAGTAAGTCATAAAGAATCACATGATATAACATAAAATAAAAATAAAGTGCCACATGGGAATAACTGAGACATTACTGAAAGTTGGCAACTGTAGAGCAAACGAAATGAAACCTATCACTTTTTTAACCGGGTGAAAATTTGCAGTTTTATCATTTTTTTTAAGAAAGCTTTTTTTCTGATCTCTGTTTTGGGAATTCTCCTTGAAATCTCAAAGACACACACTCAATGTCTCTTCAGAGCGCCCCCTCACCAGGCCTGTCCTTCCCCCATGCACTCTTAAGTAAGCACTGAAGCAAACAGGTGACACACAATGACTAGATTCCAGGCGCTCTTTTCATCTACTTGCAGGGAGGGCTGCTGGATGACACAAAAGTGTAACAGGAGCTCAAGGGCTCTGTTGCAGGGTCCACCGGGCCAGTCACCCATAGGCACCACTGTATCCACTGAACACAGTGAAAGAGTCGGAGACCTTCATCCCGTGGATGCCAAAAGCAGGTTCGGATTCAGCTGGGATCACTTGGGCTGGAGCGGTCTTCTCAAGCCAGCTTTCTTTTTCTTTAGGGACACCTGGATCTCCTCCCATGCAGTCTCCTGTAGCTTCAGCTTTGTGAGACGCTTTAATTCATATTCCTCTTCCCCTCTGATGGCTAAAAATAAATAAACAAACGAGGCACATGAAGCCATCTGAGTGGCGTTCTCACCCAGAACCCCCTCAAAACTGAGCAGCTCGCAGCAGGCAGACACTATGGGAGAACTGACAACTTGACTGAGGACAGACAGGAGGCACAGGTAGAGAACAAACTTAAAAGTTCCTGTGGTCACCGGGCGTGATGGCACACACCCTGGGATCCCAGCACTCAGGAGGCAGAAGAGGATCTCTGTGAGTTCGAGGCCAGCCTGGTCTACAAAGAGAAATCCTGTCAAGAGAGAGAAGAGAGAGAGAAAAGGAAGGAAGGAAGGAAGGAAGGAAGGAAGGAAGGAAGGAAGGAAG